TTTTGAAAGTCTTCCCCACAGACGGCGCCAAATTGTTTCGGTTGAAAACAATGGGACCTTGCCGAAGGTCCACTGAAATGGAGAAGACTGGATTCGATCCAAGTTGTGTTGGGCCGAAGGTTTCCTGCACAGTGAACACACGTAAACTAGCCTCGGGGGTGTTTCCGAGGAAGGCCCCTCCGATGCTAAAGTCAGTACAATGTGTAGAAGGAAGACACTATGCAAGAGAGTTTGTAGCTTGAGGCTTTTGTGGAATATTTCTGAATGCAAGAATGAGCATATGAATTGGAATGTCAATGATCATATGTGATGTCCCTTTGAATGTGTTAATATGATGGCTTTTATACCTCATCATACTTGGAGAGGTTGGGCTTTAGCCCAATTGGCTTACTTTGTGGGCTGACTTTTGACTTTTGAGCAATTGGAGAGTTGAACCTTGACCTTGGGCTTTTAATTGGATCATTTAGTGCTCAGGCCCAACTTTGACTAAATTGGACCCAAACAATAACTTTGGTTTAATCATGGCTCTTGGATAGTTTAATTTTGTTTTACTTCATAGTTTAAATTTAATTAATGTGTTATATGAGCCACTTTGAATTTTATGACCCCTGCATTGATGAGAAATTGGAGAAACCATGGAAAATTGGAGATTGCCTAAAGCCACATTACATTTGTGTATATAGTTTTTGCGACTCATTTTACCAATTACTATACGCACATGACTATATGAACCTAATTGTTTTTTTTTTTCTTTTTTTTTACCCTTGAAGGCTGAAACTCAAATAGTTAATTCTTGTACGAAGTATATATTGTTTTGGTAATTTACTATCATTGGAGAGAGTGAGAGATATCTCAAGTGGTTAGAGGCTTAAAGCTACCATCCTGGTTCGTAAAAATTTTGGGATTGATTCTCATCACTTGTACTAGCTCTCTAAACACCAAAAAAAAAAAAAAAACTATCTTTGGAGTGCACAATCCTTTTGGATCTTGGAGAAAGAAAAAAAAAAAAAAAAAAAACCCTCAATTCACAAGGAAATCTCGTGGGTATTTTGGCTACAAGGAAGCCACACAGGAGCCCCTAACATTATGATTGGGAGGTGGGAGCTCTGTATCACTGCATTGATCTGTCGCTATTTAGCTTGTTAGATACTTTCTCCAAATTTGTTTGCATTTAACATCAAATAGCAATAACTTGCTTCTGTAATCTAGTACTCACATTTTGGAAGCCTTCTATAATCAATTCCAGTTACCAAGAAGCTCGGCAGCTCATATTCTATTATCTTATTTCATATTTAAACCCCGTGGCATCGACAGGTACTCCCCGGCCTAGGTCCGCCCGTGTTAGTAGCCATGTGACCATGTGGGGGGTGGATTAGACTATACTTGTAAAAAGTCAATGTTGGTTGTTTTGATCATCTATTAGTTGTTAGGTGTTTGGCTGTTTGCATTATCTATTTTGATTAGTCGATCATAATTAGTTATTTGTGTAAAAATATTTGGTAAATGTTGATTATTATTCTGTAGTTATTTAGAGTATAAAACAACTAAAAAGCTAAAAACTATTTTAAAAAAAGCTTTTTAGATCTAAGACCATTATCAGTAGTGAGGAGAAAACAAACCTCTCAATCTCTCTCTACCCACTTTCTCTCTCTTCCCATCCAATTCCTCTCATGAGAGGATTTTTTTACTACACCAATGCTCTACAAAAAAAACTCCTCATCACTTTATCCTCCACTTTTTAATATACCCCACCATAAATACACATCACTTTTTTTTTATCCTTTTATTAATAATGTTTATATTACATATTTAACTTTCCAATACAATTAAAAATATGTAATATTTTTTTTAATTACGTTTTAATTGTAATGTAATAATTTTTAAATTTTTTTTAATTATTTTGGTAGTTTTTTTTTATTTATTTAATGACGGTTAAAATTAATAATAATTAAAATATAATAATAATTAAAATATAATGTCAATATAATTTTTTATTTAACGTTCTTATTAGAATATAATAATTAAAAAAAATTACAGCAATTATAGATTCTACGAAAGATGTTTTCTTAAACTTAAACGATTACATAATAAGAAGCAAATTTTTTATATGAACACATAAATGGCAATACAAATACATCGGATATTAAATAACAGTACGATTACAAACTTAATAAAAGCGGTTTGAGCTAAAATAATACATGAGGACGAGTATTAAAACTTAAAAACGATACGATTACATTCTACAACTTTGCTATTCGGTCGTATTATGACGAAAGTTCTGCCATATGTGTTCTACTAAATCTTGTTTGAGAGACGAATGAATTTCTCTATCACGAAGGGCAATCCTCCTCTGAAAATACGCGTTGAAATCAATGTTGGGTGGCCGCCCGACGTTGAATTCAAATGGCTCGTTGTTATTCACCGTGGCACTTGTGCTCGGTCCCGCCCGCGCTGCTGTACGTTGTAGTCGATCTTCTTCGTAGTATCGTCTCAAAACATCTGCCCGTGTGTAGTTGTGTCGTTCATACTCGACGATCATGTTGTGCATTATTATACAGGATTTCATAATGTCACAAAGAATATCTTCGTCGAAGGCCAGTGCAGGTTGTCGTAGTATAGCAAACCTAGCTTGTAAAACTCCGAAAGCCCGTTCAATGTCTTTTCGAACTGCTGCTTGTTGATCAGTAAACAACTTGTCTTTTTGAACTTGAGGATGTGTAATACCTTGTATAAAAGTTGGCCATTTCGGATAAATCCCATCTGCCAAGTAGTAGGCCAACTCATATTGATGTCCGTTTAACCAAAAATTTATTGGTGGTGCACGACCTTGTAAAACATCATCAAACACCGGTGAACGGTAAAGGACATTAAGATCATTACATGAGCTAGTCATTCCAAAGAACGCATGCCAAATCCATAAATCCTGATCAGCAACGGCTTCAAGAATGAGGGTTGCAGTCTTGCTACAACCAGCATATTTTGCTTTCCAAGCCGTAGGACAATTCTTCCACTCCCAATGCATGCAGTCTATACTACCAATCATGCCTGGAAACCCACGCAATTCATTTTGATGAAGGATTCTCCTTAAATCTTCATCTGTAGGTTTACGTAGATATTCACTTTCAAATTGTGATATAACCCCCTGACAAAAATGTTGCAATGCATTCTGTGAGGTTGTTTGGCCGATACGTAGATATTCATCCACGACATCGGGGGCTACGCCATACGCTAACATTCTTATTGCAGCGTAGTTGCTTTTTGGTTTGTACCAACAATTGCATCCTCACTGAATTGAATATACAAATCAATTAGAGCTTCATCCTCCGCAACAGACCACATTCGACTTCCTTTTGTTAGTGGTTGGTTTTGATTCACAGACACTCTTGAAGGAGGTGGAGAGTATTGAGAAGTGTCTGGAACATTTTCTTCCATTTCATCATCTAATTGAGAATCGGTCCCTTGATAAACAAGAGATGAATGTGGTTCATAGGTAGTGTTTTGGAAAGGAGTTTGATGAGGTGTTTGTTGTGTTGAATTTTGCAAAGAAGTGTTTCCAAGCCTTTGTAGGAAAAGCTGAAATCGAGGATTAGTGACAAAATCATCACCCAAATTAGAGAAATGATTAGAAAAATTAGGGTTGTTAGGATCCATAAGTTGATAAAGTAGAAAAGTAATAAAGCTTTTTTTTTTTGAATAAATAAATAAAGCTTTAAACAATAATTAGTAAAAAAATCAACAATTACTAAAAGAACAATAACTAAATTATATTTTCAGAAAATAAAAACAGCTACAACAGCAATAATATTAATGATAATAATAATAATAATAATAATAATAATAATAATAATAAATAATAATAATAATATAATAATAATAATAATAATAATAATAATAATAACAATAACAACAACAACAATAATAATAATAATAATAATAATAATTTTTGTGAAAACCGTAATTAATAATTATAATAGTAAGAAGAAGTGAGAATTGGGAAATTAGTGAATATAGGAGATTTTTTGTGTTTTTGAAAGTATATCAAAATACATGTCTATTTATAGAGAAAATTTTTGCCGTTGGTGATATTTTTTTTTATATATTTAACGACAATATTACCGTTTTATTGAATATAACCGTTGGGAGAAAGAGAAAAAATCTGATTGGTGGAAGCAATTGACGCGTGTCGCAAGCCCATTGGCTGGCCTGACGCGCGTCAGTTGCCAGCCAATTCAATTTTTTTTTGCTGAGCAAACACCAAAACGACGTAGTTTTGGCCTGGGAATGCACAAAACACGTCGTTTTGGACGTTTTCTCTGCCATTATAATGGGCTGGCGTCAGATTTTGCTGGGTCCCACCACGCTACTGTTCATTCTCATTTCTCCTCAACTCTTGTACGTTTTTGGTTCTCCTCAACCGTGAGAGCTATTTTCCTCACTGATGTAGTGTTCGGTTTTTTTTACACCTTAATTTTCACTCGTGAGGGCTTTTTCACTCACTGCTGGGAGTGCTCTAAAAAACTCCTTACCAAACGCCTCAATGTGCTTTTTAAAATGTCCAACAACTCCTTTTGCTCCAAAGATCTATTGTAATAAAAAAAATCTATTGTAATCAAATCCACTATCTTTAGTCCTTTATATTACATTAAACAACCCATTTTATGGTTTCACTTATTATTTTCTTAAATAATGTGTCCAAGAAAATGTAACAGTTATTTTGAAATGAATGGAATATTGAACTTAACTAAATCAAACTGAAACAATCTAAACTAGAACTGAAAATAAGTCCAAAAGAACAGGATCTTATACTTTTATTTTATTTTTAAATTAAAGGTTTTATTTTGTTTAGCTCTTTCACATCCCTTACCAATTTACCATTGCATGAACCATTAGATTTTTATATTGTATGTGAAGTACAATTTTTAATTCTCTAATACCAAATGATTCCACATACATGATACAAGTATTTTAACAAATTCAATTGAACCATTTGATTTCTATACTGGTGAAAATGTAAAATTTAAAATGAAAAGAATATTTAATAAAAATCAACTAAAGTGAGTCATGTGACAATCAAAATTCAAAAGCACACAGTCACACTATCCTTGTTGCTTGCTCCAAAACTGAAAGTCCATCTCAATTGTATCACCAATTTTGTTTAAATTCAGAACTATCTCCAACCAATTCATCACTAACTCAGCAACATTCAATTCAATTCCCAGCACACTAATTAATCAATCATGTCTTCAAACACCAACTCCTCTGAATCTGAGTGGAACTACTCTGAATCAGATATTGCTAAAAAATTCCTCTTCTTCAACGTTCTCAAAGACGGTCGTATCCATGTCTTTACTCCCACTTCTAAGATGGTCCCTCCTTCCTTTGGTTCCACCTTCGGCGTCTTAATCAAAGACGTTGAAATCTCTAAGGATGTCTCGGTCCGAGTATTCCTCCCTTCTTCTGTGCTCACTAGCGCGTGCACCACACAGAAACTCCCTGTCGTGTTATTCATCCACGGAGGAGGCTTCTGCATGAGGTCCGCCTTCTCTGAGGATTACACCCGCTTTGGCTCCCACATTACCGCCGATGCCAACGTCATTGTGGTCTCAGTAGAGTACGGCCTTTTCCCAGCACGCCCTCTTCCTGCGTGTTACGACGATTCATGGGCCGCACTCGAGTGGGTGGCGTCTCACAGTAAGGGCACTGGACCTGAGCCTTGGCTCAACGACTACGGTGATCTTAGCCGTATTTTTGTCAGTGGGAACTCAGCAGGCGGGACCATGTCGCACACATTATTAGCTAAGGTAGGGTCCATTGGACTACCTGAGGGTGCAAAGATTGAAGGGATGATATTGTTACATCCTTATTTTGGTGAAGGTGATAAAATGTGGATGTTCATGTGTCCTACAAATTTAGGGCCTAGGGATCCTAGGATGAAGCCTGCTGTAGAGGATCTAGCTCGAATCGCGTGCGGCCGGGTGTTGGTTGTGCTGGCTGAAAAGGACTTTTTGTATGGTGTTGGGAAATTGTATGCGGATGAGTTGATCAAGAGTGGGTGGAATGGGAAGGTGGAGGTTATGGAGAACAAAGAAAAAGAACATTGCTTTAATATTAATGATCATACGGATCCTGAGGCTAGTGTTATTCGTCAACGAATTGTTTCTTTCATCCATAATCGGAGTTGATTTGCAGTTACGGTGTTTGTGTTACTTCCTCCGCCCTTAAATAAAAGTGTCAAGTTAAGTTGTTATCAATGTAAGTTGTTGTATTAAAGGGTGAGTTCGGTGAAATCTTGTATTGGGCGGACTTAGATAAATGTAGTGGGTTGATTGTTGGCAATTTGGCATTGTTCGATTGTTGTTGTTTATCGTTTCTTTTTCAGTAAATCTCTGTTACTCACTGTGAGAAACGTTTTTGTTTCTCACAGTGGCAGTTTCGTAAATAAAATGTACTACCGTGACTAAAGTGGTACAATTTTATCATCCATTTCGTAAATAAAATGTACCACCGCGACTAAAGTGGTACATTTTATTTACGAAATTGCCACTGTGAGAAACAAAAAACGTTTCTCACAGTGAGTAATATTCCATATGTTATATACTCCGTATGAAAGATGACAAGTTTGATTATGTGAATTATGAGTCACTTTGAATTTACATGACCCCTGCGTGCACTAATGAGCAATCACTAAAGATATGTGGTTGTCACATTAATTGGTAAAGCTAGATGTGGAGATTGCTTAATAATGACAGTAAATTAAATGTGAATTATTTTAAAGAATTAGAATATGTGTTTTCTAATTGTTTTCCACAGCCGATTGACCCCTGCAGTCCTGCACTAATGACTAAGATTATCGGATTAATTTGTTCTCTATTATACTCTGTATCAACGCTCGATTTATACTAAAATCTCACCTCCATTCTTGTCTCTAATCTTCTTTCCTTTAATTATTCATTCACATCTAATTCAATTACATTGTGATTGTGGATAAGCCGCCCCTCCTTTCTCCAACAATCCTTCATTTCCTTAATGATGTCTACATACCTATCTTTCGTAGTGATCAATGTTATGTTTGTTGTGAACTACATTCGAAGTATGTTTTTTTATTCACAATTTGTTCGGTTACTAGAAATTACTCGTATTTGGAAGGAAAGAGCTAAAAAATAATACTTTCTCCATCAATCCTCTATTAATTGTTACATTTACCTAATTTGAAAGAAAGGTAAAAATAATAACTTGACAACCTTTTTCTTCCTTTGCCTTTGTTTAATTTCCTTAACGTCAACCTAACTAAACATTGAATTTTTTTCAACTCCATCCATCAAACCGATCATTGGAAAATATGTATTAATCACTTTCTTTTCTCTTTCATTAGCCAACAATTTTTTATTACTTATGTTATTTTTTGTCTCTATTTTGGTGAACTTGAAAAAAAATTAGTCTGATTTTTGATGAAATTATTATTTGTTGTTTGGTGAAAGTTCTTGTCTCTTTTCATATGAGAGTTGTTTGGGTTACAACTTACAAGTTGGAAGTTATATAATATCATTATATCAATTCGATTTCTTATACCAATTGTAGGGATGCTCACATGTATATATACATTGTACATGCGAGTACGTTGCTATGCAAATTTGTTATGTAAATTAGTATATATATATACATGATATTTTTTTTTATGTATATATCTTGTTTTGCAACATAGATAAATTCATCAGAATCTTGCACTTGTGACATCATGCAGTTTATATCTCTTAGATGAGGTAAAAGTGGACTAATTCTGGCCTCCTTTGATTCATAATAAGATGATGAAGAAATCTGGACTCTCGTCTCGTCCCCCCTTGAAGGCTCGTCAATCGTTATCTCTCTTTCAACTAAGGCCCATATATAGTTCCCTTATTGGGCCAAAACTCCCTCACTGACCCAACAAGCATACTATTCTCTCTCCTAAGTAGATCATACATTATATTCATGCCATAAGATAGTTCACAAGTGTGCAAGTAGTCAATTACAATTTATTCAATGTACAATATCTCTTAAAAAATGTATCTTGGAGAACAAACAATTTTCAAGAAACTAGCGACAAAAAGAGGTGCAAAACCCTACCCGATTAAAAAAAAATTCCAATACAGATAAAATTTAATTCTAAAACAGATAAAAAATAGAGGTGTCAGCCCAGGGTGGTGGGCGAGAAAACGCTGATAAACTATTATTATGTTAGTATTCATTTCAAAACAGATAAAAACTAGTCAATTGCTAAACATTGCCCGCAAATCTCTACGTAAAGCCCACAATTTTTAATTGAATTGACACTTTTGACACTTTTGCCCTTATATGTAAAAAAAAAACCCCACACTCTCATCTTCTCTGTACTCTCTACTCTCTTTAGAAAGAAAATCTTCAAACTACAATGTCGAGGCGGCAAGACAAGGAATTGGCGGTAGCGGAGGCAGAGGAAAGACGGTCACATGGTGGCAAGGTAAATTTTATTTGAAAAAAAAAAAAAAACCTCGAAGTTGCGGGGCGTCTGGCTGGGACGCCAGACCCACGGCGACGGCGCCCAGGCAGGACGCCACCACCGTGGATCTGGCGTCCCAGCCAGATGCCAGCCCAACGGCGGCGCGGCTGGCAGGATGCCAAAGCCACAATGGTGGCATCTTGCGTGGGCGCCGCCTCCGTGGCCATGACGTCCTGCCCAAGCCCCTTCTCCGTGGGGTTGGCGTCTGGCTGGGACGCCGGCTAGGTTGTTTTTGTTTTGTTTTTTTGTATTTTTTTTTTCAGTTTTTTGTAATTTGTTTTTTTTTTTTCAGTTTTTTTTTGTTTACTTATGTTTAGGGTTTTTTGTAATTTTGTTTTTATTTTTTTTTTATTTTAAAATTTTTTTTTTCAGATTTTTTTTTCAGTTTTTTGTAATAATGATAACAATTGCTATTATTTTTCGTTATTTAAATGGAGTTAGGTATCGCATTTTCGACCTGGTGCGGGGAAAAATATGGACGTTATTAGAAATAGAAACTATTCAATGGAGAGCTCGAGGCTCAGACAAGTTAGATCCCGCGGTATTTCGGCCTCGGCTCGCAAAGAACGGGTTCACTATTCTGAGGAGGATGAAGATGATGGTGGTGATAAGGAAGAGGAGGAGGAGGAGGACGCAGATGAGGATGTGTTGCTTGGGATGGATGATCAGAGTGGACCATATAATGATTACGGTCCATTCAGTCAGAGGCTTGATGATATGTATGAGACGCATAGGGTAGATGTGCGTAAGGGTAGAGATGATAGTTTTGTTAGTAGATCTGGCACATCATATGCGTCTACTGTGTCTACGGTAAGCAAGCAGAAAACGGTCGAGGGCCGTCAATGATTCTTGGGTGGTGAAGGGTGAGGTGGCTGTGGGACCTGTAGACAGGAGTGTGATTCCTAGCTTTCTAGGACACATAGCTACCCATATTTGGGAGGACCAGGAGATGGCTTTGGATACGGGCATTTTGAAATGCCAAACCCGGGAAAGGACTTGTAGTTTTTTGTGTAGATGGGCTGAGGCTTGGCCGGAGGAGAACGAGATGTTCGGCCGATTGCAGAGCACTAGAGCCTTGTTTCTTCTCTCGAACAGTGTATCCAGAGCAGAGGTGGAAGAATCAATCCAGTCCTTCAAAGCTTTATGAACGCTCTTAACTCTACAGGTTGTAGTGTTTCCAAAATGAAGAACTTGGTTTGTCCAATATTTAACAAACTTTTCCCTGTGAGGTATCCACTGCTGCATCACATAGTTTACCACTGCCAGACACCATTGGTACGCATCCTTGAAGTTATCCAAGGCTCGATCGTACTCTGCCTTTGTGGTAGCTTGTAGGATCTTCCACCACTGACCATTTAGCAATATCTCTGCTGAATGTAAATTCTTGTTGAAAATGTGGTAGGCTTTGACTTTCACACAGTTGTTGATGTGCCATGTCCACAGTAGATGCTTCGATTCTGGAAACAACTCCGCTATAGGGGCAAAGAGACCTCCCTCACAATCACTGACGATGGCTGATGGCTGAACATTAGGGCCGATGTAGTTTCTCAACTTCTCCAACACCCAATAATAACTCGCAGCCGTCTCATCCTTGATGACTACAAACCAATCAGAAAGTTCTGGTTCGTTGGAGCCATCCCAATCATCTCAACTAGTGGGAACTTTGCTTGTTTGTCCTGTATGTTGAATCGATCAAAATCACATATGGCCAAGACTTGATCATATCAGCACAATCAGGATGCACAAGGAATAAATGAGTCACCTCGAATGTCTCTTCATCAGAATAAAACCAGAACAGGTAAGCACATGCTTGTGCCTGGTGTAGAAGATGCTGTATTGGGTTCCTTCCCTCTGACCGTTCAAACTCAATTTCTGTCTGATGTTGTAGATGTGTCTTCGGTTTGGCTGGTCTTTAGGAAATTTTTCTAACACAGATGCTAATATTTTAGCAGGCTTCACTTGAGCATCACTCATTTCTTTGACAACTAGTTTTGCAGCAGGACTTAGGCCGCTTAACTGTCGATGACCCAATGGATATACAATCATCTCATGGTTGTGATAGCCCTGTCTAGAGTAACCTTTCACTTCCCAACCATCACGGCTTCGGTGTTTTCAAACCTTTACTCTGAACTCACACCCACAACCTTTCCGCTTTGTATCAAACCGAATCGCTATACTGAAATCTCGTTCCTCCCTTTTGCGATAACGGTCGCATCTCAAAATGCGATCCATTCTACCATCCCGTTGAGATTTGTGAGTTGCTACTACTAAACAAAACCAGATCTAATTGCAACCTGTTTTGCCCAATCAATCGCTTGTTGAGCATCTTCGAAGGGACCATCATGTACAAAAATCCCACTATAATCATTTCCGTCTCCACCATAATCATGCAACAATGACATATTATTTTTAAATACATAGAATTATATGAAGATTAAATTAACACATTTAACACAAAATTAACACATAATTAATTTCTAAATTTTTTATTTGTAAATTTAATTTCTATATTTAATGTATAATTAATTTCAAAATTAACACATTATTAATTTCTAAATTTAACACATAATTATGTATAAAAGTATTCATACAAAATTAACACATAATTTTTTTTTGGAAATTATTAACTCATCTTTAATTTCAAAGTTCAAAAACAAAAAAAAAAAAATTCTAAAATTATAAAAAAAAAGGAGAAATGCTGGTGGCATCTGGCCGGGACGTCGTCACCATGGCGGTGGCGCCTGGCCGGGACGCCGCCACCGTGACTTCTCGGCCAGACGCCACTTCCACGGTGGCGGCGTCTCGGCCAGACGCCACCGCCACGGTGGCGGCGTACCGGCCAGACGCCATCGCCATGGTGGCGACGGTTAGGCCATACGCCGGCCTACATTTCGTAATTTTTGACCGAAATGTACCTCTCTTTCCGGCGACGACGACGACTCTCCAGTGTTCCTCGGCGCTCCAGTGTAGCTCATCATTTTTCATTAGAGAAAATTACGTTTTGGGTAAAAATTAGAAAAAGGGCAAAAGCGTCAAAATAAAAATAATTGTGGTCTTTATGTAGAGATTTGCGGACGATATTTAACAACTCCCAAAAACTAGGGGTAAAGCTTTATAAATTAGTTATATGATACTTTTTCCACCCTTTTTTGTTCTTCCCATTTGTAATTTTGACTATTTATAAGGTGAGAAAATATTCTAAATTACTCTTAATATATAAGACATAACATAGTCATGTCGGGTCTTATTTGATTCGTCTTAATGAATAGTTTATTAATATTCAATTGTTATATATATTTATCACTAATAAGCAACTAACGATATTTATGGTCAAAGTCTTGCATTGACAACTGTGCACAATCCAAATAGGAAGAACATTTAGGGACGCCGCGACAGAGGGAGTATTAGATTATTCACTTTGCTTACATCGCCTTATAGTAAAAAAAAAAAAAAAAAAAAAAAAAAAAAAAAAAAAAAAAAAACTAATGTGCTCTATCACCTGATTTTTATTTATATATTTAAGCTTATCCTATCTCACCTAAATTTATTAGTACTTATTAAAACTTATTTATTATTAAAACTAGTGTACTTTTGGAATGTAGCATAAGATGTTTATTATAAGCATATACTTGTATAAAATGGTTGTACAATTTCTGTCTTAAATCTCCATATTATTAGACAGCTAAACTAAATTTGAAAAACACTATCATGTAAGTTTAAATTTTGTTTGATTTATTTCAGGTTAATTAAATGTGTGTTCTAGAACTATATACTTCTTATATCTATTATTCTTCAGTAAATTATGCTTCTGTTGTTGGGCAGTACAGTCTAGAAAAAAGACATGGCTGCAACCCATGGAGTGCCGGCAGCAATGGTTGGTGATAAGAAAAAGCAAGCTACTTTCGAGGAGCTGATAGCGGCTGGAAGGGAGATAGCAGCTTTGGAACCAAAGGTTGATGCACATGAAGAAGCTATTACTCGCGGTTTCATTGTAAATCATCATAAGAAGTTCGCCCCTTTGAAGTTATATGATCAACATAACTGGTCTGGAAGGCCAGTGCCGAGCTACCCCGAGGTTGTTGTATATCAGCAGCTAGACCCGCCGATTCCATTCAAGCACCAAGGGCCTCTTCCACAAGGGTCCAGGGGAGGAGTGGTCTATGCTGATGGTGTAGACTCCACTGCTCGAAAATGGCTCGTAGCTTTTGACCTTTTAAAACAGAAGGTAGTATAAATATACCATATGCACTAGTTTTAATCTTGCTCAACACTTTATAAGGCATTTCCTTAGTAAAACATTAATCAATTGATTAACAATCGTATTAACTTATCATAATTCCAAAAACTTAGATCATTTCAAATGAGTCAAAGTAACTTAAAAAAGTTCAACCAAACTGGGCTTTAGGCACCTATTTTATAATTTTTATAGTTTCTCTATTTGGTTCATATAATTTATTTCCTAAGCAAAAAAGTAAAAAAATATGGTCAAAGCATGCATATAGACTGTATATATAGACATGGCGACATGCAATTTAAAAATTACTAGGTTGTTACTTGTCATAGTTAGACCCCGAGTAATGCACGATTGTATATTCCACCATATATAATTTATATATGTTTCTCTGCTCCTTATGAATAACTTTGATAATATGATCTCCTCAAATAACCGCCCCCAAATAAAAAATCAAAATTGTCTTCAGGTTTACGTAGAAGCTGGGCCAATAGGACCCATTGATTGGAATGTAGTCGAAGTCAAACTTCAAGCATCCGGAGATCATAAATATTACGAGGACCCAGTTTTTGGGGGCAAAGCTGAAGCAAGAAACGACGGTGATATTGTCTTTGCAGTGTTCTCTAATTAGGATTACCTTGCTAAAAAGTTGTTGTATGGACTAGCTCAAGCCTAAGGTCACGCTATAATTAAGCATTTTATAATAAGCTACTAGTAATCAATAACATAATACTAAAATAGACATCAGGAATGACACTTGTCACTTCCCGATGCGTGGTACAGGACTTAAGTTCATAATAAAGTCTTCTTAATTGTGATACATATTTGTGCTATAAATAAAATTGTAATAATGTTATGTTTCGTTGTTATTTTATGAATGTTTTTTTTAGGGGATTTAATGAATGTTATTATCCTTAAATAAATGGCTTTGGGTATTAATTAAATTCAATATCTCATGTTAATATTATTGTATTGCCGCCTGAATATATGTACATAACTACATATGTATATTTTAAACCATATCATTAGTATGTAACCAAAGTAATTATACTATCCCCAACTCTGATCTCATAATAATGATATTAGTAATTACTTCCGCCACTCCATTTTACTTATAACATTTTTACGCTTTCCAATGTACGGTATGGAGTATAATTTATACTATTATTAATATTTTCGATCGAACAAGACACTTTGGGATAATTAGCAAATCTTGCAAGAAGTTAGTGGACTGCCTTTAAATCGTTGCATGCTTGAAGTCGGCATAATATTATTCGAGTACTGTTAGTGTATAGACTTTTAATAATTTTGTAGTAAAAGGTAAAAATGTAACAATTATGAGTTCGTTATACTATGAGTTTATTCACTTAAAACTGAAATATTTTCAATAACTTGTTATGATTTAAAAAAGTAACTTAAAATGTCCAAAAATTACTTTGTATTTAAATTTCAAAAGTGAGTAGATTTGTTTAACAACTTGTACTCTATATGAATTGTCTAAAAGCTTAAATTCAATTTAACTTAAATTCAAACCTTTACAAAATTGTTAATTTATGATTTTTTTTTTTTTTTTTTTTTTTTTTTTTTTGACAAGAAGAAAAAGGATTTCATTAATGAAAGATAGTCAAACGACACTTACAAACAATTCCTAGGAAATCTAAAATTCCTACACAAGTACAAATCACCTTAAATCTAATTACATCGCATATTCGATCAACGATCGCCTTAATAAAAAAATTTCATCTAAAGCAATACAATTTGTAAGTTAGCACTAATTCAGCTTGAGATCCACGGATGACTAGTTGTTTGGATGAAAAAAACTCATATGACTTCTAGAAACTTCCGAAGATTATGAAACCATAAATCTTCAATCTTTGGCAAACGAACAAACAAAGAAATTAAACCTAATATGATAAACACCATCATAACGATGGGATCCATTTATTAAAAGCAATTAAAAGGTTTTTTGGGGCTTACCACCAATAAAAACACCGGTGGAAGCCCCTACAAAATTTACAATTGAGACCAGAAGAAAAGAGATGAAAGAAAAAGAGAGAAAAGGAGAAGAGTGAAGGAAAACCTTAAAAAAAAACAGAAAAAAATCTAGCAATGGAGGTTAGAAAAACCCTTCCAAGGGAGAAACCCTAGAGGGAACCAAAAAAACCCTTCTATTTTTTTAACTTAATAACTTTGATTAGATAACTAAGTAACATAATTTAATTTATGAATTTCTGAATAATGTAATATTGTACCATAGAAAATTGCCCTATTATTGTGTGCTTGTGCCCCATATATGGGCCATGGACTATCTTTATATCTAGAATGAATTCGCCATTATCGGCTTATTGCGTGCTTTTGACCAAGACGAATTTTCAGCATTTCTATCTTCTCTTTTTAACACGTTTTATTCTTAAATTAACAAACTACATACTAGTGATTCGAAATAAAGTCCTCTTGTTATGCAATGCAAATATAATTGTGCTATGAATATGAAGTGTTACGTTACTGTTTGTTTGTCCTAATATAATATAGTGAGTCAAACTTTAAAAATTTTATGAAAAAAATTATCATTAATATATAAGAAATACTATGGTAATTTTAGATTTTGTTGGAATAGTTTTAATTAAACTACATTTATACCATGGAATAATGGAATAACATAATTTTATATATACCATGGAATAATGAAATACTATGGTAATTTTAGATTTTGTTGGAATAGTCCTTTATTTGAGGAGATCATTTCACAATTATAACAATTGAAGTTGTTTTAAATTTTTATCACTTTATTCCATTATTATTACAAAAACCTAAAAAGTCAAACGATTTACAAGAAATTAGTGAGGAGCCGAGATACAATATGGGCCCCCACCCCTCTAGCTATAGCGAACCCGATCCTATTGAAGATGTGAGCAGCTGCACGAGCACCAACATGTTGAGCCCTAGCGAACGCCTGAACCCGCTTCAGCAACGCAACATCATCCTTCTCTAATTCCCCTAATGAAGAAAAAGAGAAAGGAAGAAAACCATAGCCAATAGCCCTACAACGCGCCCAATACTTGTCTCGCTTCCGCTGAGCCGCAGCCGACACAACACTACTCGGAACGAAATCAGACAACCCAGATGGTGTCATTTATTATTATTATTATTAGTAGTAGTATTATTATTATTTTAAGTGTATTGGTTTAATAGGCACACAGAAAGGTGATTCGAATGGAATAACAGAAGACGTCCAAAACAGGGAGCTGGGGTGCTGTACTAAAAAAAAAGTCGATTCTAAAAACAAATGATGCACTTAAACAATCGAAGGGAGTATCATTTAAGATATCTGTAATAAGGGCACACAAAAAGATAGCAATAATTACAAAATAGTCATTTTTTGAATTTCATAATATATACTTCATATAACATATCGTCGGAACAAATGAATCAATTTTCTGTTAGGTAAGATAAAAGGCATGGCCTTACCAGACCAATAAGACCATAATCCCTCAAAAGTCGCGTCCACCTGAATTAGGTTGGCGGACTAATAATCTGAGACAGTAGAGGAAATTGAATCCTCTCTCCTAAAATACCCTTACTGAGGATTGAATTAATGTAACCTTAGCTTCAACCTACCTCATATCAATGTTGAAATGTGCTCTTTTTTCCATTAGACCAAGATTAGGTTGGTATATTAATCAATGTATCGTACAAAATTTACCTATTACTAGTATTATATTATTGTGAGCTCGTGGACCATCTTTATATTTAGAATGAATTCGCCATTAGTGCATGTCTTTGACCAAAAACGAATTTCCAGCTTTTCTATCTTTTCTTTGTAAAATATTTTCTTCTTACTTTGATGCCCTTTAAATAAGCAGTTGATTAATGCCCATTTTAGCTATTATATTTATATATTTGTAGCTTGTAACATATTTTCTAAAGTACGTGGGTCAAAGTAGCGGTATTTAACTCGTCCTTCTAATCTTTCATTTTTGTTTAAGAATGGTATGGTATTATGGTATGCTAAAATTGCTAATTATAAGTAAATAAATTTTACTTTCTCCGTTGTTAAATTACTTACTGCTTTTAATCATATAATCAAGACAACGAACTAAGAAAAACATTTATTGTGTAAAATTTTGAAATTGAGATGGAAGAAGTGGTGTAATATATTTTCTTCCTTTCATAATACATGCACAATTTTTGAGCACATATATATGTGTTAGTTACTCTTGTTGTTGGGCAGGCTAAGAAAAAATATGGCTGCAACCCAACAAGTCCCGGCAGCAGTGCTTAGCGACGAGAACAAGGCTACTTTCGAGGAGCTAACAGCAGCCGCGAAGGAGAAAAAAGCTTTGGAGCCAAAGGTTGATGCTAAAGAGGAAGCTATCACTCATGGTTTCATTATAAATCGTCATAAGAGCTATGTATCTTTGCAGATACTTGATCAACATAACTGGTCCGGAAATCCAGTGCCGAGCTACCCCCAAACTATTGTAGTTAGCCAAGATCCCATTGAATTCAAGCACCAAGGGCCTCTTCCAGAAGGGTCCAAGGGAGGTGTAGTTTATGCTGATGGTGTAGACTCCACTGCACGGAAGTGGCTCGTGGCTTTTGACCTTCTAAAAAAGAAGGTACATACGTAGATTATACTATCTCTGTTTCTTAATACTTAGCAAAATATATCAATTACTACCCCCGTTTCATATTTTTTTTTAACTTTGAAATATTTTATATCTCACAAATAATACACTAAAGTTGCAAAAAAATATGAAACGAAGGTAGTACTAAAGATCAAATAAAATGATTTACAGGTTTACGTAGAAGCTGGGCCAATAGGACCAGTGGATTGGAATGTTATTGAAGTTAGACTTGATGCATCCGGAAATTCAAGTGTTTCTGTGGATCCAATTTTCGGAGGCAGAGCTGAAGCCGGAAACAATGGTGATATAGTAGTTGCATGGTTCTCTAATTAGCCTACGCTACGAATAGCTTGCTAAAAAGTTGTGTTGATGGGATGTATGAACTCCGGTTTAAGGTCGTGCTGCAAGTAGGCATATTATAATAAGTTACTAGTAATTATTCACAATAAAAAAGTCCTCTTGTTATGCAGACATATTTGTGCTAAGAAGTGTAATGTTATTAATTTAAGTATAGTAATTTATGTTGGATTGATTCAAAGTAGTTAACTATTTCCTAGGTGTATGTGTTAGTTATTAGTGCTCCAAAATTAGTGGAAGGTGTAACTTTAGTTACATATTTATTAAATATTACTAAAATAAAACGTTGCTGATGTTATCATTGTCTACATGTCACTCATATAATAAATTTTTTCCCGCCTAAATGCAAGGATGATGTCATCTTTTTTTTTGTTGGTGTGGAGCTACCATATTTAACAAGTTTGAAATTTGAATATTAGAAACTTCTACATTACAATTAAAACCTATCAATTTATCTTTAAAAAAATGAAACAATTGTAAATAGCACACTAATAAATGAACTCCTACATTGAAATATGTGTTAGGTGACATTGAACAGGTATTGTATCATAATTTTGATGAAAATCTAAAAATATAAAATTACAAATATTTTTGTACAAGGTGCATAATTCTTATTTATATTTATCCATTTTTTTTAAAAAAGTATAAACTACAAAAATAGATTTTATATAAACAGTGCATCGCACTACTTCTAACCTAGTTATTTTGCTAAATATCAGTTTATTAGAACGTAATTCAAAGTGCTTGAGTTAGTGGTGTAGTGTTTGTTACCCACTTGTTTATTAGTTACTACTTTATAGCTTTGTTAGTTTTTAGAGCTGTAAGCCTATTTATATGGGCCTAGAGTATCTCCAATTTCAGTGTGTAAATACAATTAGATTTATCAAATATTCATCTCTCATCTCTCTCTATAGTTTCTACACTTTATCTGTGTTTTCTATTAACATCTACGGATCTACCATCTACCTATGTTATTCCTAAAATGAGTATTTTGTAAAAAAAAATAAGGTAATAATTTATGGAATTTTAATATATATCGTGTAAAATGTTGTTATCTTGATTTAGTCTTGTATTACTGTATATCAACAACTACTTTTATTTATATGTATGGTATTAATGATTTAAATTGTGTATTAACAATTGTGAAAATCAAAATGTTGCATTATGTTGATATATAGATATTTTAGTGTAAGTGTGTAACCTTTATATTACATATCACAAATTTCCAAAGTTTATCTTAACGTATAATTCTTATTCAGTCAACCTTTTAAATCATACCAAGCCAACCACAATTCAATTAATCTTGATACCTTCCACTAAAATTCTTCTTTCTACATTGAATTTAATTAGCACCTACTCAAGATCTAATAATAGAGTTTGAAAGCTAATTAAATGGCATGATTAAGCAAGACAACAATATATGGTTGGCAGTGGGTTGCCCAAAATTAGGAATAAGAGATTGACTAGCTAGCATATGTACTCCGTAGTTGCCATATTTAAAGCTAGAGCAAGGAATTGAAGAAAAAAAAAAAAGAAAAGCAAAAGCTAAGGAGCTCCCCGGGGGAGAACTATATGAAAACCTGGCCTTAATGTAAAATAAACATTAATTACATCGATCAATATATGATTTTGGCATGCATTCGAAATTTAATACTATTTTAGGTAATATATTAATCAATTATCTGCCCCGAGCGCCCGTTAGCAAGATAAAAAAAAATAATAAAAAAATAAATTACCTTAGCTTAGTTTTTGAAATAATTACGGAATACCATTCAATTTTCTTAAAAAAAAAACTATCACAAAAATTTAAAAAGTTGGTATAACACTAAATATTTGCTCCCTCCATTTGGATTAATCGCAACAATATATTTGATACATAGTTAAGAAAAACCATAGGGTGGGGGATCAAAGTGAGGTCTATAATAGAAGTTATAGCTGGTAGGGGTTTATTTAGTGAGTGAGAAAAATAATAAGTAGGAGAGAGATATAATAAAAAAAAAAAGAATTAGTGGATTTTTACCAATTAAATAAGTGTTGTAATTAATTAGAAAGATATTAAAAAGGGAAGTGTTGCAATTAACTTGAAACAAAGGGACTAAATATTTTGTGTAATCTATACTCATCTTAAGCTACCAAAAACTTTAATATTGATTGCATCTTTCAATAATAGGTACAGCTCATCAATTATGTTTGTAACTAATATGAAATTTAAAAGTAAGGGTTTATATCTAGGTGTTATTTCACCCAATTTTAGAGTTAGGGTTTTTAATTTGGGGATTAGGGTTCTTCATATTGGGGTTTAGGTTTATAGTTGAAGGGTTTTCTTAGCTAATGGATGGATATTTATTGAATTACTAAACAATTATTTTGGAAAATTAAAGTACACTGCCAATGCATAGCTTTTACCATAAATAATATTTTTAATTACATATTAGTAAAAAAATATACGAGTAACAATTTGATATGGCCAATATGACTAAACTTCGAACTCATTCGAATCAAATTTGACATTGACATAAAGCCCGTGAAAATAAAAATACTGAGTATACTGCAATTGATTAAGATCTAAGTATCTGTCATTGGATTATGTAGAATTTCCCATTGTTTCGTCGTGGCCCCCTTGAACCATCTTTTTATCTAGTACAAGTTCTCCATTGTATGCTTTTAGCAACAAAAAAAAGTTTTCTGTCTTTTTTAATCACTCTTCTTATTGACGTCCGTCTATAAATAAATCTGCGATTGATCAATATCACTATTAGACAGTGTAGCTTTCGACATATTTTCTACAGAACTAAAGTTAAGGTTTTTTTTTTTTTTTTTTTTTTTTTTTTTTTTTTTTTGAGGCCAACTAAAGTTAAGGTAAGCAACTCTTCTTCCTAGTCTTTCATGGTTAAATACTCTTGTGTAGTTGTGTAGCCCTTTGTTTTAAGATGGAATCTTGGGATGATTTGGGGTCCTTCGAATTGCTAAATTGTGGTATGAAATGCCTGCAAAATGAACTCCAAGTTATGGACTCGGGAGAGTTCCTCGTGATAGAATATAAAACTAATATTTTTGACTGTTGACTTAGTTGAATTAAATTAAATCTTTGACATGTACTCAATACGTAACAAGACAAGAATATCACGTGTTAAAATCTCATCCATTTTACAATTATTTATGGAATATTTAACACATCCACAGTCTCAATGACATATGGACTAATTTTCTTAATATTACTTCAGTGTAGCATGTAGAGTGTATGTAGCATACTAAACTTGATTAAACCAAAGCCATAGTATTTTATACTTGTAATGTTGGACAGGCTTAGAAAAACATGGCCGCTGCAACCCAACAAGTCTCGACACCAGTGCTTAGCGACGAGAAAAAGGCTATTTTCGAGGAGCTGCTAAAGGCTGCAAGGGATAAAGTAGCTTTGGCGCCCAAGGTTGGTGCTAAGGAGGAGGTTGTTTCTTATGGTTACATTTCTAATCGACACAAGGACAATGTAACTTTGTGATAAACAGGTCTGGGTCACACCTGTCACGAGTGTCCATTTTATACGACCAAGAAATTTCCACCTTAAAACCATATGGAAATGAGGGGAGTAGCCCCTTAGCCGCCTTATAAAGTGGACACGACTTTCTATTTTCTTCTGGCTCATATCACAACACAACCCAATCTGGCTCTGATACCATGATAAATACGGGTGTAGGCCACACCAACAAACTAAGAGAGAGAGTCCACTTCACAAGTCTAAAGGAGATTCCATCCCAAAACCATATGGCAATAGGAGGAGTAGCCCCTTAGCCTTATAAAGTGATTAACTTTTTCTTCTTCAACCAATGTGGGACACTTACATGTGGTGACACTTGAGAAGTCTATTCTTCAATATGGTATCAAGCCAATAAAAGTTCACGGTTTAACATGGTTTCAAAGCCAGGTTCACGATATGGGACCCTAAATAGCTAAAGTTCATTAGGCCAAGAGTAGGTACGGTCCATGTGAGGGGGAGTGAAGAAGCACTCTAGCCCGAAAAAGCACATGAGACAAAGTTAAAAAAAAGGGACTTTACATGTGAGGGGGAGTGTTGAAGAATAGACTTCTCATGTATCACCACATGTAAGTGTCCCATATTGGTTGAAGAAGAAAGAGTTAATCATTTTATAAGGCTAAGGGGCTACTCCTCCTATTGCCATATGGTTTTGGGATGGAATCCCTTTTGGACTTGTGAAGTGGACGTATTTAACACTTTGTGACTACATGATCAACACAACTTGTCTGGAAATCCAGTACCGAGCTACCCCCAATTTATTCCGCTTCAGAAATATCCAATCGAGTTCAAGCACCACGGCCCCCTTCCACAAGGGTCTAAAGGGGGTGTGGTTTATGTTGATGGTGCTTACTCCACTGCACGGAAATGGCTCATAGCGTTTGATTATTCTAATAAGAAGGTACATACGACGATTCATATTTGCTCATAACTTAATTAATTAGCCATTACTTTTTTTTTATTCTCTGCAAAATTTGTCAATTACTACCATCTATTTTATATATGTATTTCTTAAGTCATGTTACTTGCAAAACAAATAACCTTTTTGATTTTTTTTTTCTTTTTTTTTTTGTCTACAGGTTTATGCGGAAGCCGGGCCCATAGAAGATGTCGATTGGAATGTAATTGAAGTCAAACTTGATGCATCTGGAGATTCAAGTTTCCACGAAGATCCAGCTTTAGGAGGCAAAGCTCATGCAGCAATCAATGATGATGCTCATATTGTGGTTGCATGGTTCATTAATTAGCCTGCTAAAAACGACTAGCATGTGTATATGCATGCTCCTAAGGTCACGAAGCTAAGCAAGCAGACATTTTAATACATAAATAAAGCTATTGTAATTCACAATAAAGTCCTCTCGTTATGTAGACGTACGTGTGGTACGCACTTGCGCCCGCTATTATACATAATGTTCTTGCTTTTATTAATACAATGAATACAAAGTATAGTGTTACCCCTTGCGTTTAATACACAAATCAACTAGTCATGTGGATGCCGACTACCTCGCTATTTACATCAGTAACATCACTACTATTGCGGTTCTCTTTACATACACACACAAAAAAAAAAAAACCGAAAATGATCATACGAGTCAGATAAAATCATGTTGGACAGAATTTACTAAGCTAAGGGCAGCAAGCCCAATTCTGAACCTTGGTGCAAATTGATAATTGCATATTAAGGGGTCGTTTGGTTTACACAGGGTAAACAGAATGAAATAAACTAAGAGAAAGAAAAAGAACGGAATGAAAAACCCTGAAATTTACTATGTTGTTTGTTTAACAAATAAAGGGAAATAAGCCACCAGCCTCACCACCACACAACCATATATTTCCTTCACTTTACACCTTCTCCAACAACCCCTCCCCCACCACGCGTCGCAACTCGTACACTCCCACCCCTCCCTGCCACTCGCCACCCCCTAATCAAAAGCCCTCCCCTTCCCCAAAAAACATCTCCAACCCCCGCAAAACCTTAGAAATGCCTCGCCAAAAAAATCATCGGCCAACCCTCCCCCCACCCTCGAAACCTAGAGGGAGAAAAATAAAAATAAAAAACGAATTTTAAGTGGTCACGTGCAATGCACGTGACTTTTTTTGGCATGAAAAAAGTCAATGGCCAAAATTCGGTCAAAGGACCCTCGCCACAACCCAAGTCCAATAAAAGCACTTTTTATGCCACCTTTTTTTTTAAAATTTTTTTTTAACAAAAGAACCTTTACAACAAAAAGACCTATTTAAAAGGATCTTATCACAAATTTTCCTAATAGCATTTATTCTCTTGAGAATCTATGGGGTAAAAATCTTATTTAGAGTCAGTTTGTATTACAAAAAAAAAACGAGGGCCACCATTTCAATATAGCAATGTATAGTTTAGGGTTGCCATTGAGAATTCCCAAAAATAACAACAATATTTAATAAAGAAAAAGCTATATTCAAAGTTTCATTAATTAACTCAAAAAAATTATTGAAAAATTTTAAAATTTTAAAAGCAAAATTCCACCAATTAATAATTTTTTAATTATAAACAGTTTAACTCTAATTATATAATTAATTGATTTGAAGGAAAGGAATAAATAATTTTACTACGATTGATAAAAAAATCTTGGCTTTATTTTATAAAACCAACAAGAAATTTTGTGTTTGTTGGTATTTAATACGAAGTATTTCTTTGGTGGTATAAAAATGATACCATTTAAATGCAACTTTATACCCGTTAATTTTATTAGTCATTAGTGAAAAAATAGAATATAATTAAGCATAAGGGACTAAGAATTTCTCCTACATATTGGTCAAATACCACCTTATCACTTCCACCAAAAATTAAAAAAGTATAAGTAGGGTTGATACCCTATCCACAAACAAAAGACAATGGACAAAACCATTATCTGAAGAATATGGAACCAATTCACATTGACCAAAAATGAAAAAAGTCATTCATTTTTTAATTTTAGTAAACATTAAACCAAAAAAAAAAAGAAAAAGAAAAAAAGCAACATATCATTCTATCTAATCTTCATTTTCCAAAGTTATTCGTATCTCAATATAGGGAAAAAAAATATTGGTTATTCATATTCTTCATTTTTTTTTTTTTTTTTTTGGGTTAAATCCTATCATTCTAATCTGTTACAAGTCTTACAACAAGATAATTGCATGCATGCATATATCTCTTACGTGCTGTTTGGTTGAACTTCTTGAAATGGGTTGGAATGGATTTAGAATTGCATGTATGGTTTTATTTGTTTGGTTGACCTATTTTAAGTATGAAATCTCATACCTGGGGGATTCTAACTAGCTCCACCTTATTCCCTTGGAATCTCATACCCGCCTTCCCTCCAAGGATTCATATATAATTCATACTACCACTCAAATATGAGAATTCATTCCATGATTAAACCAAACAAGTTTAGATTGGTATGGGATCGGATATAGAATTCATATCACCTAAGTATGAAAATGCATACCAATCCATTCCACCTTGGTGAAGCAAACGACCCCTTAGTACTTTCTGCCTATAAATAGATAACTCATTTGCGTCCCTTTCTCCTAGTATAAGTGTAAGACTAACAGTAACCACAATAATATATCTATCTTCTCTTGCGTTTATTTAAGGTACGCCTTTTCTAGAAGCTCTCAATTCTAATACTCTCCTAGTATGTAAGTCTGTTATACACCTTGTTTCGGGGTTTTCTGATGTCTTGCGGGAGAGTTACAATTCCGAGACTGGAACCGGACGCCTGTACCTGCAAAATAACGGAGACTCCTGGTGGTGGGAGCTCCGCCTCCAACGGTCAAGTTAGTACTTGATTAAGGAGTAATTAATGCGGAAATTAAAGTGATTGGGTCTCTCTAGGTGAGAGTGTTTAATGTAGGTAATCTACTTTGCTAGCGAGATCAGCCGGTTATTACTGTGTGTAATTAATGTGTGTTTTCGTCCTCCCCCTTAATGAGGATTAAGGGAGGTATTTATAACCTTGGGAAACGTGCCCATCCTAGGTTTAGGTTAACCTAGGGCTGATTGGGCTTCCCTCGGAAGTTGGGCCTGGGTGGCCGGTTTCTCCATTAGGCATGGAGTATGCCACATGTCATGACATAATAGTTCCAAGGTGGACGAATAAGCGCGTGCCACGTGGCAAGCCCTGACAGTTCCAACTGGGGGACACTTGGCAGGACCTGATTGGCCCACGTGGCGCATTCCGATTGGTGGGAGCAAAATCCCCTAATCATTTGCCCCTCACAGGTGGCACGTGATTGGTCACGTGTTACCTGTGACAGGTGTCGCACTGTAACAGGCGGCGACCTTCTACAGGTGTCAGTCGGCGAAAGGACGAGAGATTTTCCCGCCCAAATTTTGAATTCTAAAAATGACCCTTCGCCTTCTCAGTTCGCCTATATAAGGGAGGATTGTCTTGAGTCATTTTCACACTTTGAGAACTTTTTGAGAACATTCGGACCCCTGAACTTGCTCTGACATTTTGGACCTTTTCTTCCTACCGCCTGTTCTGACAAGCCGACTGCACAGGATTTTCAGAACTTCATCAACCGTCACTCGTTCAGGTAACTGTCAGTTCTCTTACTCTTAATTTTCTTTTTATTTTTTGAAATGGCACCACGGAAGCACACGACACGACCTAGGTTAGTGATCAGCCGGTCACCGGGGACGGCTGAATCTAGGACTAGGAGTGCCGCCTGCCCTTTTCCGGACCTATCTTTGCCCTTTATACAAAATCCGACTGTATCTGTGTCTATGTAGAGCAGGATGGCCAGAACGAAAAAGACTGCTAGGATCTCAAATTCAGACGGCTCCTCCCACAGGGTGCCGCTTAGTGAAACATCTGACCAGGCGCCAGATGTGGAAATGAAACAAGGCGGCCTGAAAGCCGGCAATTCTGAGGGAGGAGTCATAGTGACCCCTTCCCATTTAACAGTTACCAATTCTGCTCCTTTTCAAAGAGAGGAGGTGGGCCCCTCCGGGAGAGGGGAGGAGTCGTCCTCTTCGGACTCGTCAGAGGACGATTCTGAGTCAAGCTCTTCTGGCCATGCTTCTTTGGACACAGAAGAGAAAAACAGCCGCCTGCAAGAGGCGAGACTTTCTCACGCAGTTGAGAAGGGGGACAATTAGGCGGAGCCATCCGCCTCTCACCGAGAGCTAAATACCCCCTATTACTGCACGGTACCTCGGGGCCGGATCACAGCCATGCAAGAGAAAGTAGAGAGCTTTATTGCAAACCACACCATGGGCCCCGACTTTCTAGTGTTTGTGCCGGATCCAGAAGACACAGTCGTCTGGCCGGCTGGTTCCAGTTATGATAGCGCCTGCTTTGGCTGCTACGAGGCGGCCATCAAGGCAGGGCTGCGCTTCCCATTACATCCGGCTGTTCAGCGGATTTTGGATGGGTATGAGTTGGGGTTATGGCAGTTAGCCCCAAACTCCTGGGTCAACGTACTCGGCTATGTGGCCGGGTGCGAACTGCACGGGGTGGAGCCGAGCTTCGAGGCTTTCTCCCATATGAACTATCTCAGCCGGACCCCTAAGACAGGCGGTACCGGCTGGTATCAATTGACAAGCCACAGGGGCTACCTCATGATGAGAGGTAAAGCAAACAAGTGGAAGGACTGGCGGAGCACCTTCCTCATCATTGAGAGTTCAGACATTGAGCTGAACAAGCGCTTCAATAGGTGGAACAGGAATCCGCCCCTTCTTGCAGGCGGCCGTAGCATGCCGCCTGTTCCCCCCAAGGCTAGGAAAGAGATCCTTGATAAAGGACTCTTTAAAGTAGAGTCGAGGGTCGACTCTACTTCAGGGGTACGAGAGCAAGTACCCCTGCACTGCGTCCCGAGCTTCAAATGGCTCTACGACGAGTATTTTTTGGCCGCCTGTGGCCTCAGCAGTCGGTGCTCAAGAGGTAGTCGGCCTGTCGAATACTCTGTTGTTCCATACATTTCTTGTTATGACTTTTATTAACTTTGTCGTTTGTTTTTGCAGCTGACGCCATGAGCAAAATCACCGCCTCCAAGACTGCGGCGGCCATGTTGCGGGCCTCTATCTTGCAACAAGCTTCAACCGACTCCCCCAAGAAGGGGGCACCCTTGGTGAGCTCCGAACCTTTCACCCTCTTTTTGGAGTTGTGTTTATACATATACTGACTTTTTTCTTCTTTTTTAGACGGGTGCTCCAAGAGCTTCATCTTCCCAACAGCCGGACCCCAAGGCCCGGAAGACGACTGTTGGGAGCTCTCCTGGTTCTGCCAGGAAACATGTGGCGGCTGAGAAACAGCCGGCCACTTCTTCTAAAACTCCAACTGGGCCGCCTAGAAGTAAGAAGTTGTCCTTGTAAATTTTAGACTCGCTCCCTTTTTTACTAGGTCTAATCCGTTTGTTTATGCTTGATGCAGCCAGCCCTCGGGAGCCTGACTTGGTAGAGATGGCCAAGTCTATGATCAGGGCAGTTCCTCCATCTGAAAGGGAGGCGGTCAGGGGTGTCGGCACCCTTGACCTAGACGGGATTGCAGGGGTCCTTGCTGAGGTATACTTAGCATATTTTTGAGTATTTGAATTTCTGGACGCCTGTTTTCTTTTTGTTTGGAAACTGACGCCTGTTCCTTTGTACTTAGGCCCTGCTCCGAGTGAACGGCCTTCGCAAGCCGCTTGATCGGAAGAACAAAGAGGTAAAGGCTGCAAAAGCTATGGCCGCCTCTGACTGTGATAAGGCAATGTTTCAAATTGCCCAAAATGAAGTTCTGACCATTGATATTCTTTATTATCAGGCGCAGGCTACCGCCGCTGTTCGGGCTCAGTTAGAGGCGGCCCAGAAGAGGAATGACGAGCTGGAGGCGACCATCACCAATCTCAAGGCCGAGCTGAAACCTCTTCGCCTAAAAATGTACTCTTACGAAGCCTTGGAGAAATCCTTGGCCAACGTAAAGGAACGCCTGGTGACCCAGGAGAAGAGTCTTACTCAGGAGCTCTCGGAAAAGGCCGAGCAAGAGA